TGAGGAATACAATTTGACAATTATGTTTTGTGCCTTAGTGGTGTTTCTGAATACATGCACATCGTGGAATGTGGAAAAGTGGAAAATAAACTGGAAACGAACCCAGGAGTTAATTTAACCAGCCAACCCAAGCAACTAATCCAGTTTTTGTATAAAGCTTGGACAAAGCTACTACACCCCCATGAATGCATTCTGCTCCTTGGCCCTGAAATATGACGAGACTGAAGACCATCACCCCCCCAGAAAACTCAAATATTATTAAACATGGTTATTTATCCGCTTGAGATTCTCCATCACGCCTGCTGGCTATCTCATTTTCCCGCGGGCGATAAAACATGAATGCAATCAACTACGCATGCTTAGGAAATAAATCAACAAAATATGAAACAGGGGAAAATAATAATAAACGGTGAAAGCGACAATAAAGAACAAAGTTTTCCACGTTGACGCCTCGCCAAGGTCAAACCAATTTAATTTTCACGGGTGCCTAGACGAACAAAATAGTCACTTTGGTGGGAGTCGGTTTTCGGCTGGCTGTGCGGTTGTAGGAAATAAAAATGCGATCTGCTAGTCAAATAAATAAATTCGGTTTCTTACATTTTCAAACAAAATTAGTGTTCGCAATATTTTGAAAATTTAATAAAATCGAAATGCGATTCCAAACTCATCCATTGGAATCGCAATGAATAGATCACGTTATACATGCATTGTTAAAGAGGAGAAAAACAGGTATCAAAATGATACAGTGTTTACATTTTGTCTTCTGTACAACATATACCATGTGCGAATGTGCCTTGTTCATAGAACTGTGTTAGTTTCAAGTTTCGATATTTACATATAATCATGGGGGATTTTCCAAACAGTCTATGGCCAGTTGATCATAATGGCATCGGGATTGCACAAAAGACGAACGAGAGATATGGGACAAACAGATAAACATTGAATTCCATGGGGAAAATCACTATCAACAACCCAGTAGACCTTTTACTAAAAATGGTTGGAAGCCCAAATTTGAGGTAGCCAGCGTACACAGATTGATCCCGCCAAATCAACCCGGTCATCTGCAGTCCGATATAATCACTCTCTCCACGCGCCGCAAGAGAATAAACAGTCTCTGAACATTTTGCACCGGGCACACAAAAAGCACACTTGGCATAGTGCACTGGGGAAAAAAAACACCATTATTATTGCTTGCAGCAATTTCGCGGCCAAAGGGGCCTCAATTATTCCGCTAAGTATTTTCGCACCTTTTTTCAAGGTTAACCTAATGAAATCTTCACGGGCTTCATGTGCTTTCAGGCCAGACTAGAAAGACAAGGGAAAAATTCATACATCACTATGACCAACATGATCACACAAATGGAACAAACCATTATAATATGAACACCCTTGAAGATCTGTAAACTCAGTGTGACACATACTACATCAGAAAATACAAGGAAATAACGCGATATTAATGATGTAGGTCGAGACGGTTTATAAAGAGCAACCACTTTGTCCTGCACATTATAACGCATGTGTTCTGAAATGGCACAGTTTATTAAAGTTAGAAAACCGTTTTGACACATATTATTTTCTAAGGTTTATTAGGACGGCCAAAACCCATGGGTCCGTTTCAGAAATGAGAAATCAGGATTTTTATCAGTTGTTAAAAACTTAACGCTCAACTGGCCTTTCAAGTCGTATCAAAATGGTCATGAATTCAATCCTTGAAATGCACGACCTATTTGATTGTATTCCAAACCACGTAAATGCCCGGCCGGCATGCACGGCATACATTTGAATGAACAGAAATTTAGGACAAGAGCTATGAACAAGAAAGGAACCTCCTAAGACATTTTGAATGATTGCAGTAAACGGACATACAAATAATTCATACAATATCTTTCAACAACCATGTCTTCATTTTTCAACTGCTTCAGTTTCATCGAATACTGAAATATCAGCAGACATTAAGCTAATTACTTACTCTTTTATTAATTATGCTTTCCAAGAGCAAAAGAACAGAGTGTCAATCATCACCAGTATCGCAAAGTGAAATACAGAAAATTGTACTGTTCCATTATCACTCTTAATAAGTGAATAAAGCTATATAATTATTAAGACATCTTAAATAAACCAACTTTTTGGCTGCATTTTTGAGGAATAATTTAGAGCATGTTTCTATGGAGATTCTAATTTATTACATGACAACCAGACACTGCACGTTGAACGTGTGAACTTCCAGTGCAATTTTTCAAACATTTTCGCCAATTCAATAAAAAAAAAGCGCACACACGACGCATCGCCTTTCTCCCCAAGATATACTTGGGAGAAAATGTCCCGTAATTTTATAGAATAAATTAGATTGGGCCACCCCAGGGGAATAGGTCGGCAGACCGGCCTACCAGCGAGCACTCCCCGGCGAAGCCCCCGAATGACGGGGGACACCCAGCGCTCTCGCTCCGCCGTCCATCCCGGGGAATCTCACGCTTAACTTCAGGCGCTCGCCGAATATAATTTCCCGTTACAGATTAGGTTTTCTCGTTGATTGGAGGTGCTAATAGGGGATATGTGATATAGATCCACGCGTCTAAAGCCACAAGAAAGACACAGGAAGGGGAAGAGAACAGAGGACGGGTTAAAAAAAGGGATGCTGGAGAGGAAAAGGAGAGGACTAAAAGAAGAAGCAAGGTGGCTTTTTACGGGATGAGGGAAGGAGATGGGGAAAGAGGGTTCGATATTCTTGTCACCTGTCGAGGGAAGATCGGTGATTTAGCGTAGGGCGTTCGATCGGTGGAGGTGGTGGAGCAGCTTTCAATATTTCCGACTGAGTGAGCCCCCGGACTGAGCCATACTGGGGGACAGATGAAGGGGCAGACTGGCGTAGAATGAAGGAATGGGACGGCTCTATGGGGAGATTTAAATGCACGGAACCTCTTCAGGTGTCCCGGTGCCCTGTCGCTGAGTAACTGCTGGGTTGTGGAAGGGTTTTACTGGGGGAAATGACTAAGACCTTTGTGAATATCTGTCATTGGAAAATGTCAGCAGTGTGGACTAGTATCCAGCAAACAAAGGGAAGGTGATATTCGTTCCAAAATTTTGAAATAAGACAACTCCAATGCCCCTAGGTCCCTCAAAATGTCTCCTTCATAATCAAACCCATTGTCTTCCTGATTAAAATAAGCACAACTGGGTAATCAGAAAGAAAATTGAAATCTAGGCCTACCAGAATGATTTCAATGTGTCTAATTCATCACACGACCGTGGTTACTGATACATTATCATTTCATTGTAATTTCTTTGGTGTGTGTACAAACGTTTTAATTCGAAACGTACACCAACGTTTCGGCAACCTAGCGCTCCAAATCTACATTAATTGTCAAAATAAATTCGCCATTTCCCTAAATATCTATTCAACAAAGGCCTTGTAAGGTCGAAGGTTAGAGCGGTAAATCGAACTATGGCAATACCCCAGTAAAAAAGGGATGCGGCAGTTTATACGTTTCATGTCAATTCTATTAAGTGGGGTTAGTAACTTGACGTCATTATTACGTCACCAAAATGAATGATTATCACACTATAATCTATAATTCTGAATACTGTTAGCAGGAATGAAAGAGGCCTTGATGGAACAATGGCGATGGTGATGACAATGTCATGTCATCATGACGGTGGTAGGGTGGATGTGGTGATGAGGCACACGATGGTGGTGAACTTTAGTTTGATCGGCTAACGGTGGTGAAAGATTAAATTGACATTTCGACTGTACATGCAATGCTGAACTGAAAGTAATATTGATAACGCCGTGGCTAGCGACGGTAATTTTGACTTGGATATCTCGGCGTGGTGAAACTTCAAGTGCATCATAATAAGGTAAAATGGTGGCAAAGCGTCGAAATCTACACCATTGCCAACCTTTAAACATATTCGCAAACACTATGATAGTGAGTCCAAACTCCCACTGGATTTAACAACAGACAATCAAATATTCCAATTTCACATAAACTCACTAATCCACCTCCCCAACAGCGTCCGAAAACACAGCCTAAAACTACATCACGACCACGATTGCAATAAGGGCAGAGGGAGAAAAAAAAGTTCCCAAATTGAAACACGCATAATCAGCGATGCTCCAGCGTCGAAAGCCTGGCGACCGGGATATTCTAGCGGCTCTCATGGGGGATATGGGCTTGATAAGACCGGGGTAAGCCACGTCGGCGGGCCGTCCCGTCCCGTGCAGGGGTACAGCTTACGGGTGCTAGTGCCGAGGTCTCGGCTGCAATTACATAAGTGTAATTTTCACAGTAGATTTGATCGCAATGCAATATTGGAGATAAATCCAGGCGATCCAGGCGCCAGTATGAATCGCCGCGGCGACAACTCGCATAAATCTCAACCCTTGCACGTCTGTCTATCGAACATTTTGTTTCATCTAAAAAGTCCGCCATCTCAAAATTTCTCTCACATATCTTCGTCTGATATTATCATAATTCCTATTATACAATGATGTGGTGGTAGTAATCAGGAAGCCGAGGGCTGGGCTATTAACCAAGAATGACTGTCAATACGAAAACTCATAAACTGAACAAAGGAATAGACTGACAAAATAAAGAATATGGATTGAGTGGGTCGGAAACCACACTTCACATTCAGGTCTGTATTGTGAACCAACTGGCACCCGACTGTGCAGAGGACGTGCAGTAAATATGGAATTGGTACGTTTGTGAAGGCAAAACAGTTATGCCCACAATGGTCAAAGGTCAGGGTTGGAAGGTCGGTGTGAATTTCAAGTGTGCGACAGAAGAAAAGACAACGGGCAGAGAAAATTGAAAATCTTTCATGCAAAATCAAAATCACAGCATAAAATACAAAGATCACGCAAAACAGAATGGACACCACGTCAACACATCGTATACGCATAACATATAAATGGAATAAATGAAAGGATGGTATAGCCTGGAAATCTCGATGTTGTAGCATTTAGAAGAAAGGATTTACTTGAGAGTTAGAGCACTAACCATGCGCAGAATACGCTTCCGTTCCGTTGTGCGAAGGAAATTCTGAAAAATACAAGGAATATGGTAGATTATATTGGTTTTGTCAAATTGTTTCTCATGCATTTATTCGGGGGATTACATAATATAGTCTGGCGTTATAAATTGTTGATGGTACCAACTGCGGTTCTTGGCAATGTTCATATGCATAACGGTGGCCTCCACAACAGCCTAAATGAAGTGATTGGTGCACAGTCTGACACACATTGTCACATTAAGCATGATTTCCCGCACAGGCAAAGGGCACTATCTGAATAGCTGTCATGTGATATCTCTGCATCCAATGGCCATTTTAGGGTGGAACAATGAGGTGCACGGCGCATGTTCTTCAAAGAATCCCGTTTGACAGACTTGATAAACAACTGGAATGTTAATCTCTGTACAGCGTGAGGGGAACTTCACATGGAAAGCAAACTTTCGGCCGGCTGTAGCCGAAAATGTGGGAAAAGTCACACTAACCATGTCCGTCACTGCAAACTGCACACGTAGGGGCAATACTTCAATTTGTATCACACTATGTTAACTAAAGAGTAGCATCAAAATAAACATGCAATAAGTTTGGTAAATCTGATCGTCAGGTAATGATAAAGCTGTCTTTTAGCTGTTTCTTAGTCTGTTTAAGATCATCACAATTGTTATTCACCACACAGCAACTAATTTTGAAGATATGGTATCATGTATAAGATTGATTTTACAATTAACATTTGGGTAACAAGTAGAGTTGCATACCTCAGTCAAGAACTTGTACTCTATTGTTACAATCAACACAAACACAAATTGTTAACTTCACTGTTAAATTGATTGGAAATGCCAAGCAAGTTTTGCCTTGAAAATATTATATCAAGTTTTAATTTTCAATTTATTTGGCACAACGATATTGATTGGAGAGTAGCGTTCCTTTCCAAGCTGGTGGTGAAGGGGGGAAGGGTACAAACACGAGACAATGCTTGCAGCGGCGAGCCACAAAAGGGTCTTTGTCAGGTGTGGAGGGAAGGTTTTTATCTGGGCCGCGATGTTGTCGTCTGCCAAGACGCGTTTTGGAGGGAAATTGAAAATGTGCAATATCCGGCCGGCGAGTCGCGGGATCGATCCGCCATATTGTTGCTCTGTGGCACGCGCGCTGTCTTGTTCATGCCCAAAGATAGAATCCTAGGAATCGATTGACGCGGGAAAGAAAGCAATGTCATGTGATCAAAAAAGGTTCTGTGGCGACTTTGATACTCTCAAGGTGGAGGTGACCAAACGAAAAGAACTACTTCATTCAATGCATTTAAAGTTCGCGGCTACAAAGTTGGGTATTGCATAATCTATGGATAAAATGCGTAGCTAGCGACGTGATCACATCACACTAGGGTCCTCGCTAAGCGCTTGCAACCTTTCCAAATTTTAGTTGAAGTGGATTATTTTTAAACCAGGTGCAGTTTGATCAGGTTTTGGACGGAATTATACCCTGTCTCCACCATCAGACTCGAACCTTTATCATATAAAAGCGGACATCTCGCTACAAAGTAAGCCTATTTGAAACGCCTCCCATTAAATCATTTGCACGACTTGGATTACACAAGCGCATGCGCATTATGGCCTCGCACTCTTCCCCAAGGAATTTTTAGCTCGCGGTGAAGGAAAGCTGCAACTCTCAAGGTCGCCAGGTCTCTTTTATTCCTTTTTCTCCCGCTTCCCTCCTGTTCTGACGGTGTTATTATCCTTCACACTTTTAATTTCATCAGGCGAGAATTACGGCTAATGGTTGGTGCGCGTCACCGCTGCTCATCACGGGGCAGAGGCGCGAGGCAGCGAGATTGGTTGTTTAGCTGACGGTGATGGCGGATGCATCGACCGTATTACCGCCAGGTGATAGGGTTATGTACCTCATCGGTTCGCCAACTCCTTGACTCATATCAGTTTCCTACATATTATTAGAGCCGAGCTGATAACTAAGTAAGGTGCTATAAGGAAGATATCAACTGCAACAGTGGAAGAAAATAGTTCTTGAATATAATAAAAGATAACCACAAAAGAGATAATCAACTTGTGACCAGTTATCGTCACCACTTCCTACAGTAGCTGCTCCGTGTTGGCAACACATTATTTTCTGCATTTAGATTCTCTGGTAAAAATACTGGCGATTCACGATAGTGTACCTCCAAGAGTTTGCAACGAGTTGGCCAATCACAATGCGCGAAATCTGTCGACCCTATGTGCGTTTGGAAAGGGTCGACAGATTTCGCGAGTGGTGATTGGCCAACGCGTTGCAAACTCTTGGAGGCGCACTGTTGTGAATCGCGAGTATTAAGATAAAGATTAATCATGCAATTTGATAATACACTACAGTCCATACAACCTGTAGCAAGGCAGGGTGGCCGGGCTACTTCAACCTCAAGTTTTTTTGTACTTCATAACTCATTAAATTTCCACACTGAGATGTTGGATTTTAAATTGTTTTCATCCTGACCTTTAAAACGGCAAGAAGAAGGTTAGGAGAAAGGGCGTCCTCAACGGACATATTCTAATACACATTAGACATGCGCAATACAAACACAACCACTGTGGTTTGGCCTCATACGTACGACTGCATATATATCTCCCAGAGGATGATTTGGCAAGATGGCGGACGGCAATGATCACACGCGGGACGTTTATACTTTGATGCAGAACAGGAAACTGCAACAAGAGCTGGGATTCGCGACTAGGAATTGCTCAGAGTGACATTAATAATACCATTATGAATGATTAGACAACTCGAGACGAATCGACTTGGTCGACCCACTTTTCACACCGTCAGATGTGCTCACCTACAGGCTGTTTAGAGTTCATGCTGGACATGCCTCGATCCCACCAACGGGATAACTCTTCTATTAAACCACACCACTTGGTTTCAATCAGCAGTTCAATTGTTTAAAACACATGAAACATATAGGATTTTCAATCAAATTTATACAAACTGTTGAAGCGAGTCAGTTCAGTCTTTTTTTTTCAGACTCAGTTTAAAGTAGCGTGTCAAAATGAATTCAGAACGGATGAACATTTCCTAATTCAATACTTCAAAACAGTCATAATTTCATCGTGAAAAAGAAGTAATACGTGAGTTGGCTCATAGGGAAGGTAAATTGTTTTTTGTGTTTTTTCTCCAGATACCGAAGTGCAATCTCCCAATCACTTTTGAGATAAATGTTCATGACTTAGCGGTCGTGGCTGGCTGCAGATAGACACGGAGAATTCGCATTGCGTCCACCGCGCACTGATCAAGAGATTCCTGGTCGCACGCACCCATCTGTCACGACAAAACACATGCCACATGTACAGCAATAAACCGACACTTCAGTCCGACCGGCAAAAAGTGGTTTAAAAAAATTAATCCATCAAATATAAATTCTTTGATTTGAAACATCAGATTCTAATTAGAAGTAAATAACAGTTTGTCTTGCATAATTGTTTCCCAATATAGTTTAACTTAATTGGCCGATTAAGTTGTTTGATTTTTCTCGTTTTCGACCTATCATCTGCACCACAGTTATAAGGTTCAGTCACGCTACTGAACCTTGAGGGCGCTGTTTAATCACCCCACAGGCTATGGGTTACCCCTGTAGTTCGCCCAGCAGCTGACATACCCTAGAAGCTTGATTTTTATGTCCTTGTAAACAGTATCATTTAAAATGATACCGAACATTCATAAAGTGACAAATGTTTCATCCCCACACTGACACGTGACCCATATAAACGACCTACAACTGGGCTGTCCTATAAATTTGGGGTTCAATTTCTTCCCTGTCCTTGTTACTTCTGACGTATGATTTTGTAGGTTTAGAATACATTCACGAATTCCCAACAGCGATTAATCTCAATGCAAATTATCAGCCAAACAAAAAAGGTTTCAAATCACTTTCAGCTGTAACAGGGATAGAAAAATACAGGTAGGTCACACATCAGACCCCAAATTAATGGGGAAGCACAATTACATGAGTACCTGGGTACTACAGGGTTAAAGTTGAAGCAAAATTTGTATTATTTGCTATTATGATTATTTAATCTAACTAACCCATAGACCCCAAGTAAGAATGAACTGCCTAAAAATGGTTCAAGTCCGCGGATGATGTCAAAACCCCTCAATACAAGTATCAGCGACACAAGGCACAAAAGCGAGAAATACGTGCATGATTTGAAGTACAATGGACGAACGGTTACTAATAAGGTAGAACTGGATTAATGTTTTTACGGAACTTGAAATTTTCAACAAAACATGGAGATTGCGTCTCATTATTTCGGTATTAGAAATTTCAAGTTATTACCTACTACAGGTCTTAATTGCTACGACAATTGTCTTCTCTTTTTTTTTCCTTTCAACTCGGCGGAAGTAAATGTCTAAAGCTGTGGTGTTTAAGAAATTAGAGTGACACACAGTCATTAGATTTTTGAGCAGGCAAGACAAGAACAGAGAAATAGTGCAGGAGACCCGTACTATTCATCCCGCGGTCGGCTCGTCAGTAGCAGTGATGACTCGCCTATGAGCCCCCGAGCAAAGCGCCGTTCGCCCCGTGCGATGGCCGCCTCAACACGGCAGGCTCCCCTCAGCTACTCGTGGCGTCGGCACACACCTACAACTGCTGTCATTACCATCATGCTTGGCATCATTGCTCCACAAGGCACTTTCATCTCGCCCCTTCCCTCGTCCAAGACTTTTTTCTCCCTCTTGTCTTAAGCAGTAGTCGGAACCCCCGGGGGTTTTTTGCATTAAAATCTCCCCAACCCGCCGGACCGATGCCTAGGCCAAGCCGAATACGTGTACCAATGTACACACGCAGCCATATTTAGCCCTCCTCTGCGGCTTTTATTTATCTTGGTTGAGTTCGCCTGTACTTTTTCCTCCTTCAGCCTGTGTGTTTGTGCGACCCTGCCAATCGCTATACGCCCTGGCTTAGCCCAATATTCAATAATCGCTCTTCTTATTGGCTGGCCTTGCCTTTGCACGCGAGGAGGGCTGAGCGCGCGCCTCACGAGGCACAAGACGCTACGGGCAAGTACTGCCATTCATGGTCCCCCGCTCGGGAAAATAAGGGAAAAATAGAGCCAGCCTGCATTTTTTTGTCGAGAGCGAATGGGATTTTTCTTGTCACGAACTGGAGATATTTTCAGCTGATTGCGAAGTTTTTTAGGGGGAGGGCGACAGAGAGAAAGCCAGAGTGGACAGCTTGCGGCAGTTGTCTTCATCAAAGATCGCTGATGTCTGAAGAGTGCAAAGGCAAGGTGAACCGGTGAGGACTGGTCAGTTCTGGAGGGGAAGAAAAAAATCATTTCATCCCCCCAACACGACAGATGACAAACTCCTCCAAACTACCCTGAGCCGTGCTAGTCTCTAATGGCGCTGCTCGATGCTTTGTTGATGTCACAAAGTAAAACACAAATCAACATCGTTGCATTAAACGAAACTTCATTCCGGTTTTCTATAAAAGGGTAAAAAATGAGGCGAAGTCTTTATACAAGTTATTTTACACTGTGTAAACCTGGATGATTATACTGAAACATGAAACAAAATCAGTTTCAGTGCATAATTTAAATAGACTTTTAATAATGAAAATAAAATGTTATAATGGCCATATTGCGAGAGCACTTCAAATTGGAAAAGTAGTCGATTCCCTTTCATCTCAGGAAGACGAGTTACTAAATGAGGAAACATTTATTTTGACGAATTATCTAGGGGAGATTTCCGGTCGAAATGTATACAAATAACTGTTTGCTGGCCATCTGGGATAGACCTCATATTTGTCTTCACACAACCCAATGACGACAATGCAACCCAACCTAGAATTCCACTCGCAAAGAACAACAGACCGCACAGAGTCATTGGTGTGTACTTCCTGCGCATGATCGGGGCGTGGTGCCGTGCCTCACACTACTCCGTGAAAGAAACAGAATAGACGATACGCTGCCACGTTTGGTGACGTTCTTTATGAAACTGTAAAGGCAGACGACCATATGCAAGCAAATATCCGAGAAATGATAAGTCAGTTGGAATGGAAAGGTTGGCCTTCTTGACTCTTTTCTGTTTACTTGGACAGTTCGATACGTTAACTCACTGAGGGCAAGACGTGTTCAATCCACGCATTATTTCCGTTCGTTTGGAACCATTCCGTGGCGTTGGATTTTTATGCTCTCCATTCATACCACCACATTTTCCCGACCACGTGATTGTTACGAAAATGTTCCTACCAGCAAATTTGACCTTTATGACACAACAATGCGCGGCGGTTAAGAAAAATCATGGACTCCAGTCTAATTACTCTATGCTGCAGCAGTTTGCTCTGCAAGGCCTGGTGTAGTTGAAGAGGGCCAGGATGACATATTAACCACGATACGGTGCAAGCAATGCCGTGAATAATTAATCATCATCAAGGGAGCAAGCTCTCAAGACATTTTTTTTTGTTTCTGCAAGTCCTCTTTCGCCTCCACACTGACCTCGTTGGCATTATAATTTCCTAGGCACAAGTGTTTTCGTCTCGTGATTCTCATGCGCATGTACACGCACACCTAGCGCTGAATATCATCACTGTGTTACAGTGTATATCAAATTGGAGTTTCCCAAACAAATCTTACAATATTTCAAACAAGTTTCTAATTAACGGACAGATTTTTAATACTACGCCTTCGAAAGAAAACTGAGCATCCTATTCAAACGATCTCAAGAGTATCATGTTTCTTCATGAAATGTACAACGGAAAAGATATATAAGCCCTAGTTTATGCTTTGGCTTTGTACTGTCAATTTTAAGTCACCATGTTCACAATATTAGAAGCTGTGTGGGGAATCATTCGTGTGAGAACTGCTAAATTTAGAAGTTTAGCCAGGACACTGTTGACAAGGAGACAAGGCTGTAGACGGGCCCAACAGTTCTGTGAATAGTGCAAGCCACAGTACACATGAACTATGCCCGCCATTGCCCGAGGTCCAACCACACACAAGCCAATTGCTAGAATTGACCCTACAGCGCTCTACAACGGGACTCCACAAACACTGCGAGTAGATCCCGCGCGCAAAAACGTCTAATCACAGAGCGCTGTACGCCCAACCATACCGCTCGCTGTATGCAAGCTATATAAAAACGCTGTAGGTTGAGGGGAAGGGAGGTTTAGACATCTCCGGGGCAAAAAGGAAGGGAAAAAATGGAAGGAAGGAAAAATACTCTGACGTTTTTTTTGTCGACTGGGGTACGCCAAATTGAGTGGAGAGCCGACAGTAAGGTTGTCATGAACTGTACATTTATGGGCATTATGTCACCGTGTGCCTATAGACAGCGTGTGTGTTTTTGCTTCCGCAGGAAATGTGCCGCGCGTGAAAGATTTTTTCCCCTAATTTCACTGTTCAAGGTGTATAAAGGCACATGCACATTTGAAACGATTGTGATCCCAATTTTTTTCCAAAACAAAATTTACTAAAATTCACATCGCATTCCCATATTTCTTGCCAATCGCTGCAGAGAAAAGTCTAATTATTAGTTCGCCCAAAGGAACAAAATTCATCCAATTTTCTGCTAGTGCTCTAGTTACATGAAATATTTCTTCACCAAATCGGTGATTCGCCCGCAAATCATCTGAAATAGATCCAGAAACTACAAATAGCATGCCATCTACCTCAATTCTAAAATGACGCCTCTGCTTTTAAACGTTTTCTTAAAATCAAGATAGCCACCCCTATCCGTACATAAACTACAATATCTTGATAGAAAAACGTCGATCGAATTAGATGTTAAGAGATTATATTTAATCTGTGCGGTACTTAACTCCAACTATTGGATATTCAAGAGCAAACTGAGTGATAACTCATATAAATCTCTTTAAAGGAACCACATGACTGAGGGCGGTGAAACAGCACAGGAGTAATACCTGTCAAAGGTTAACCCTAAACTTAATTTATGCCCTTAAACACTCCGGAAACTACAGTCCGAAGCGGGCCAGGCTCGCGTGGATTGGTCATACCCTTTACAAGCAATCCCCACGAACCTAACACCGTTTTAAAGGGGCAGTGTACAGAATCATTGGCAGATTCACCGACTTCAAGTAGAATTCTGCTTGCAGCAGAATAACGTACATAGAGTTTGTTAGAATCGGATCTCTCTGTCCAATGCGTGGGAGGATCCCCCTTACCACAGAGCGCATATCGGAGCAAGAAATCGTGGAAACATATTTCATTGCGATTGAAATTAGTGCGTGAAAACCAATTGGTAAGTGTTATACCAAGCGCTGTCTGCCACTTTTGCCAAAATTATGGTCATTTTCAAAATTAAATTTGCTTTATTTCACAGAAAAAATGACATACATGCTAATGATGGTGGTATTCGCACACCTCATTCAGGGAGTTTCGCCAGGTAAGCGTATTCCTTGGAAGACTTGTTTGACAGCTTTGTAGTTATTACAAAGTTATTACGCTCGCGAGTTATTACGCTCCTTTAACGTTCCCCTTAATAAACCAGAAACACCCCGAGCAGGTCAAATTAAAATTATAATTTCAGCATGATTGTGGGCGCTAATTTCGTGCGGTCTGGAGCCCTCTTTTTTCGTCCTCTACGGGTATGTTTGGCGTGAGGTTTCGAGAGGGAGCAAGGAAGGGGAATATAAGTACCACACAAGTAATCAATGATTATTGAAGAAGATAGATACCGCTGCAACAGATACAATGATAAGGATTCGACACTGGCAATCAGATATCTAGAGTGATTCCACACTTGACGTTTGGGGCTCACGCCAGGATACCAATGGAGAAAGCAATACGACGTATCTTGATTTGGGTTAATTTTCGAAAATTGTGAAATGGCCGAAGGGGCAAAGATGGTTCTTAGATCAAATGATAATAATCTAAATAAGGGAACTTTTTGCCACCGTTTGATTTTTGAGAGAGCGCGAGAAATACTACCCAGTCCTTTTGACATCGACGAGCCATGAGAACAACTGCCTGACAAATATCGAAGGTGACATTTGGACAAATCCTAAGACATTTCGTGAGTTTATGATGGAATCAGGCATTTTAATAGTTTTTGTGAGATATATTTCAGTTTGAAAATTTATATTTCATATTACTTATAATGTGCTCGAAATGTTTATCTACAAACTATTAATTGAACAATTCAAACAAGTAAAACCCTAATTCTTTCTTATTTAAAAGAAAAGGGAAAAAAGGAAAAATGCAGGTAATTATTGCCTTGTAGTAAGCCTGGCAAGGAGAGGCCAAGGTTTACATCACGCTATACGGCTGTTCCATGTACTCTCTCTGTGATATTACACGCCTCGAACAATAACTAATCACACTAATTAATTATCACGAGAGGGAAGCATTTTTGCCGCTAGGTAAGGTGTCAGTAATGGAACAATCAAACCTGCTATTGTCTCTGCAAAATCACATCTCATGTCTCAATTACCGGAGTTAACCGCTAGTTCCTGAACCGTAATGCTTGCGAGTAATTGATTCGTTAAGTAACACTGTCAGGCGACAGATGAGCTATAATAGAGTTGATGTCATTATTTTCACCATCAACGCTTCCAAAACTAAGGGTGTCATCTAGCCGTGAATCTGTTACATAATGCTGCGAAAAGGACCCTGCGGTTTTTTTCCTTTCACAAACTTATCAAAGCTCAAAATTTGGAACTTTGGAAAACGTGAAGACATTTTCACAGTAACTGGCGGCAAATACTATAGGAGATTGTTAAAAGTCACAATGACATAACATAAACCACTAGAACTGATGTGGAGCGGGAACTAGCAAAAAGAACGAAAGGTAAAACGACGCTGCAAACATTCAGCACTGGAGAAAAAATAAACAAATTCAGCTGAAAGAGCCTTTAGTCCGCCTTTTCACTCAAAATTCTATGTAATCATCACAAAGCAAAGCAAAGACTGCAGACTTTGCCAGTCTGATTAAAGAAAGGCTCAACCTTACCTTTGTGCGTGACACTGTGGTCCGATGGGGATCTAGTAGACGAAATGATTCCTGTCGACATTTGGAGTATCCGTGGTAAACGAAGGCAGATGACAAAGACAATTCCTATGCACTGAGGGAGCGAACTTGGAAGTTTGGCTGTAGCACCGTCGAGTTACCCGAAGATACGGCATTAACAAACTGTTAGACCAGACACACAAAAAGGCAACAATCAAAATGTCGCTTAATTAACATGAAACACACTGCACAGCATAGAAATGAGCTTCAAAAGCCTCGGTTATGTGGCAGGTATAAATACCGATGCCTGAGAATTACTGCAATGAGCTGAAGGACGCTGTTAGTCGATATCCACCCCACCCCCTTCGTGAGGACGGTTTCAGTATTGACAAATTCTAATCTCGTAATACGTAAGGCTTGTGCACCTAATTTACACTGACGACACATTGCAAGTTTGTTAGTCTTTCTTCAAGTACGAAGTGATGTGAAATCCGATAGATGACCGGTGAAGAAGGGCAGTTACTGGCGTTACACGCATTAAGCACAAGGTTTGATAACGTTTGTTGATCCATGCAGGACGTGTTATTATTCCTCCATGGTTGATCCAGCGTAAGTCAGTCAAGATTGTCAAGCCTGAAGAATGGGTGATACCATACCATTGTCTCGCGCTCTCTCCAGAAGACTTACCCGTAGCACTCCAAATGGATTCAACAACAAAAACAAAAACATCCTGACAAAAAAGAAGACTGCTTCCCCTTTTTTGGACTTCGCTCGGCTATTCCAAAGACCATGGCCGGAGAAAGACGGCGCAAAACTGGCAGACAATGGCTGCGAAAGGCCATGCTGTCTGGGAACACAGTAACTATTTTTCATTGCCTAGTTAGCGGTGTATTCAGCTGTCCAAAGACCGGTAACTTCGGCTTAAGTGGTTTGAGCGAACGCCCAATCAAGCAGCATTCACAAATGTAGTGTACGTTTTCAGGATAGTCTTGATGGCCGGGTACAATAAACAAAGCCTCACTGAGTAATGTGCTCGGTTGCGCATTTTGACATATCTTCAGCGACTAAGGATACTCCCAAATTTACCTCGTCATACAATGAAGAGTACCCCGCACATGCTTGAAAGTAATTCTTTTGGAATATTTATGGCGAGAAATTCTGTAATCAAATTATGGAGAGTAAACTTACACTTCACTTTTCAGGCGTCTTGTTGTTAGGCGTACAAAAGCATGCCGAAAAATAAATGAAAAAATAAATTTTGGTCAATCTGTACAAGACACTCTGAAAGTAGATTTTACCATTTCAACGACAGCACAGTCAGTTTATCTTCGAAATTGATTGTCTGCTTGTCACTACTCTCTTCTGATCCTTCGGTGAATTTTTCATCTGAATTCACAGACTATTCGCTTTCCACATGGTTGCACAACCATGAAAACTCGACCAACATCGAGACAAATATCTGGTGCACTTATGTAACATGATCTCCAGAAACCTTTTCAACTACATTCAAGAATAATTCAGGTCGTTTGGTTGCGGTGAGCGACGATTCGAGTCGCTAAGTGATTTCAAACCACACAATTCACAATGGTCTCTGACGATCACTAACCTAAACGCAAAAAGACGTTCCACACACTGCATGTGAATAAAGAGAAAAAAAACGAACAGGCAAACAAACGTTCAGCGTAAAGGTTTATAAGCATCTTCGACAATATGTGTGACAGAGTTTGGTCACTAATTAACAACTGTTTTGACACTGTATTGAACGTTTTTAGTGAGTGACTAAGTTAGAGACAGACAGATCGCGACAAGGTCAAAACACCATGTCCACTCTCGAACTAACAGCCAAAGCAGGGACGACATAGCCTCTTACTAAACAAACAGTCAAACAGATAGCTCACAAAGCCAGCAGATAAACAAGTCAACAAAGAAACCATCCCGACAAACAACTTTCTCCGATTAGATTTTATCGACCGGTCTGTGATATCCCATATCACAGGGGTCGACTCGTCTCCTCTCTCTCCTCTCTAAACCAAATCATTCCGCTGAGAGGCATTGCATTACGGCTGGACAATACCCCATCGGAAGTTGTCTGTCACCGGCCCCTTGTTCGGACCCAGCCAGGCCAGATCCGATTTGTAACCCATATTGGCTTAATCTCCCATCCCAGTCAAGCATTCTAGCCCTAAAGTTGACGTACCCACTGCTTGTTCGTTGATGCTTTAATCGCTAAAATAGATAACCAGACAATGACTTGTTATGTCGATTGTTTTGCCACGTAACCTGCCTACGCTTGCCTCATCCAATACCGCAATTTCACTCCCGATTTATGGAAACACAACTGGAGTTGACCGCAGCCCAACATTCCAGTGTGCGTGACACTCGACCTCAGAGTAAAGAAAACAACAAACTCGTCGGCTACAAATTGGTGGGCCATTTTCTACATTTGTAGCAGGTTGACGGGGGAGTTTATCTTCTCCTGGGTACAAACCTGAGTGGCGGTGTACTCTTTCGCGGCAGGGGGGCAGCAACACGAGATGGTTGCCGAATGGCATCACATCTCCACCAGCCGCCTTCGCTAGCTGCCATACAACCGTGTCAAGGCCCGTCCTGCCGCCAGAACTCGGGGCCGCATTTTCCCGACAAGCAGACGACACGGTAACTGGCAACACGGGTGAAATATTCGGTGATGGAAGAAACAAGGGCGACTTGGGTTGGACAAATTATACGTGATGGAGAACACGTGTGTATGTGGGGGGGGGGCTTAAAAAGGGAAAGGCAAAGACTAAAGTCTGCTCATCCTGAAAGGGTCCACGCTAATGGAGGAAAACCTCAATGGGTCCCAAACTTTCTCCTTTAGTCATGCATGGCTATCGACAGTATCTTTAATTTCCTCCCGATACCAGAACAGTAACTCCGTTTCACAAACCATCACAATTTTGGGTGAAATAGTACTGAGTAATATGAATGTTTCTCCGAAGCAAGATTAGAAAGAATATTTGGTGATACCAGAGTCTCTTGGTACCTTGATAGACAAGCCATCCCAAGTGAGGTGATTAATGAAGTGGTCTTGTTCACATTTACTGCAAAGTTAATTTTCTGCTCTGGTTCGCTTTCTAATTTGATTTCACCCCGTCTGCACGTACAAACTCATCCGCTTTCCAGTTCTCGCCTGCCTCTCTTCAAAATCTTTGCCCTGACAAGAGTTACAGGTGCACCCAAACCCGATCGACTCGATAATGTTAAAAAATGTGTCCTTATCTTCAATTTGAATTTGTTTGGGAAAGATATAAATAGTCATTTAAAAATATTTTTGCCAACTTGGTTGTTTATTCTGACGCATCTCATTTCTTAAATTCATTTGGCCAGAAAAGTCTTCAAAACAGCATTTCTTTCATGGATGCTCCGATATCACCTCAGAGGATGCCATTGTTCCGGAAGATTTGATCGTATGTTCTAACAGTTCCTCAAGACACAAAGACATCAGCACTTGCCTGCGCTCATTGCATTATGTTGACTTCAAAATAACACAATCTGCTTTGGCCATGCCGAGGTGCTAAATCGCTCGGAGGGATATCTTGTAGCAGACAGCAATCAACTTCGCTCACGACTCCGAACTTTCCAAAGTGCCAAGGAAGAATCAGCAGGATCTTTCTGTTCGGTGTCATCGTATTAAGCCAACGTGTTAACTGCCCGTGCGGCCGTGAGGTGTCAAGATAAATAAGAGATTATAAAGTCTGTATTAAAGTGTGAAAATGAAATCTTGCGAGACTGAGCAAGTACAAAAGCTCCAGTATTCTTAAAAGTGGAGTTTCTTTCAGGAAAAAATCTGCAGTATTAGATGCGGATGAAGGCACACTGATTCATTGCTTACAATGTATCTTTGGAAAACAAAAATAAATTCACATACGCACAGATTCATAAATCGCGTTACTTATCTAATTCAATGTTGAGTTTACTGAGGTTGAGGTAAATACTGTAAAATTTCTAAAAGGTTCGTCTCATATGTACAAGAGCGACATTTGCTTTCATGGTTCCGGAACACGGTATGGAACCAAAGTGGACTCACAAGACCAAGAGACAAACGATACGACGGAACTGGGTTAGATTTGTCGTCACAGGTTGATACCAGCGATAAGATTGCTTCAAAGTGTCAGAGCACCACCACTCCAATTCCAAAGTCCAAGAATTAAACCAGTTGTTGGCTGATCTTTCGTGTAATCCACCCGCCGTACGGCACGGGTCAAGCTCCCCCTGCCTCCACGGCTAATCCCCTCTCCAAGGCAGATCAAATTCCCAATGTTTTCTAGACAAATACAGCCTTGTTTTTTAGGAAGGGGCTGCCATTTTCTTTTTAATTAAGGGTCTTCTTGTCGATGTCAGCACGCCTTGTTGCTGGTAGGTGAACATTTCGGGCATCGCTTGTTGGCTTGTGTTTTTTATAGCAAGTACACCGTTCTGCTTCTGACTGGCAGGGCTGACAAGCCGGTCAGAGTGATTTATGACAACTTGATGAGTTTTCTCCCGTTCATTCGGGCCAGCTTTGCAAAATGCTGGCTGGCCTTCTCTTTGTTAGAGTTTTGAAACGGAAAACACTTTGGAATTAAATGTTATTCCGAGGATTCTAGAAAGATATTCACCGAGCACGTCACAAAGCAGACAAAAAACCCATGGTTTTTCATTTTCATATTCCCTCATAAGCTGTAATACATTTCGTTTCGTTGACATAGCTTCGCACTTCAGCTTGACTTTCGTTCGATGTATACCAGCATGACCGCGAAGTAGTACCACTCCAAATACACTTGAAAAGGTCACGCCGTATCATAGGATAAGGTCAAGAAAGCGAACAATGAAAACTCGCAACCGATTTCATGGCAATAGACCACAAGCATTGCATATTGCTGTTTCATTTGGTCGTTGATCGATTCTTATGTGTTTACTGGGTCTGCAGATGAGTACTGTTGTTCCACAACGACGTTAATTCGCTACACGCAGTTCAGTTCCATATTCTTGCACAAAGAAAGCTGCTTGGTCAAACCTACCCGTGCTCAAGAAGTCGAAAGTACAGAATCCATTCAATGAAAGGAGAAAAACCCACAGCCTATCGTTAATCCTGTTCCACGGTGGTGAAATAACCTTTCTGAGCACTTTCAAGAGCGCATTGTTCATGGGAGCCACGTCTTAAC